GGAGTGGGGCTGGATGGAAGGGGCTGGGGGGAAAGCAAGGTTGGAGCTGAAGCAGTGGGAGGATGGTGTGGGGAACAGGGCTGGAACCAAAGCAAGGCGGGGTAGCGGGGTCAGATCTGAAGCAGTGAGAGGGTGGGGGGGAGCGGGGTCGGACCCAAAGCACTGGGAGCGGGGTGGGAGTAGAGCAGGGTTACACAAGGGGTGGCGGAGGGGAAGGGAGGGTGTGGCGCCAGATGCAGGGCTCTGTCCCCGCCGGTTCCCCACCCCGTCATTCTTGATGGGCAATTTGCTGGTAAAAGATATTACCCTAAGAAATAAATCCTTGTCTCTTGCATAATCTCTAAACTTTGTGGCTATGACATTACTTTTACACTGCCACAACATTTGTAAGGCATGCCACCAATATTGTCATAATGGCCAGAACACTTCAATCTTTAAAAAAAAACCCAAAAAACTAATGTCTGTTAATGTGTTACTACTAGCACTTCTGCTTCCCATTGTTTTGAGAATGACTTCAGCAGCAGATGCAGGGCAATATCCATTAATATTAAAAGCAGCAGTTGTAGAAAGAGAATTTTACTTAAATCACCCAAGGACATTGACAACATGTAGGGGGTACACGCGGGTGCACGTGCCCCCCCTGAGATTGGCAGCCCACCCCCTGCAATTGGCCAGTGCTGGTGCTGCTGGCAACACCTGTGGGCAGTTGCTGCTTGCCACACCCCTCCCTTCACTGCCGACACCACCTGTGGCACCTGCAGGCAGTCACCGAATGCTGCTGGCTACCACTGCTGTTGGACGCGTCTGCGGGTGGTCGCTGGTCAGCACTCACCCCCCCGCCCCCTCCCTCCACTGCCGACACCGCCACAGCTGCCTGTGAGAGCTCCCCGCTTGCCACCACCACACCCCTGCTGCAACCCTGCTGCCACTGCCTGTGTGCAGTCACTGTGTCCCCCCAGCCTCCGCAGGCATGTGTCGTTCATGCCCAAAGATAGTGTAAACATGGTGTGTATGAAAAGAGTAGGTTATAAATAGGGAAGCTAAATGTCTTGGTTCTTGACTTTGATGGGCCGAGTAATCCTATCAGTTTATTCATTAGTTAAAATAATGTGGGATATATTCAGTGCAACAGGTAACTTGGATTCAGGGCAGATCTGTTTGTGTTCCACTCTGCTGTGAGGCTGATAATACTGTGGGCACAAATACAAATGACACCGAGTAGTACTGCCAGGATGCTTCCTTGTAAAACTTCTTTCTTGATGCACTCTCTTCCAAAGGCTGACAAATTAGCTGCTGTTGGTCTGCTGTATGCTTACTCTTGCCAGCAGTTCTAAGAGAACTAGGCAGTTACAAGGAATTGATACTTTATTTACTGATTTGATATGACTTATAAAGAAAAAGTTACCTAATTTCAATCACTTTTCACTGGTAGCAAAGTGTTTTAGTTGCTGAAGAGAAATTGTGTGGTGGAAAAGCAAATTTGTTGGACAGTTTCTGTATTTAAACAAATAGATAACTTAAGAATTCATTTTATAGCATAAAAGCAAAATAATTAATGACTTCTCAGTCAGTTGGGAAATATAGTAACAAATGTCATCTGATTGTATTTTTCTCAGTTGTGATTTTACTGCTTGTTTTGGTGGTTGTCATAGTATTGCACCTTAAAAAAGCTTATAGTGCTTCTTGCCCTCTCCCACACCCCACACACATATATGAAATCTTCTTTCCAATGGATGTTGCAAAATTATTGTTCCTGTTCTGTATCTACATTTAGGTGGTTGAGCCAGACGATTGTGTCAGGAAGAGCAGAGTGTATCGCTGTGACACCTCCTTCATATTTATGATCAATGACATGAAATAAATGAATAAATGAAAACTTGTATGTCCAGATAGTTCTATCAAGTATTTTTCCTCTTAGGTTGCATTGACAATGTCTATGTTAAGGACAGTGATTCTCAGAAATATTTAATTTAATGAGCAAACTGGGAAACCTGGTTTGGGGTGTACTACTAACAGCCAAAATTGATTTTTAAGATGATTTTAAGTACCAGCCTAAGAGAGATGGTCAGTGTGTGCATGTCCATCACTTCCTGATGAAGTCCTTATCTTGAACTCTGATGCAGATTATTGCCTGTTATGGAGTACACCCAAGATATTTTCTTCAAAGCATCAGTAAACCATACCAATATATAAGAACTATCCACCACTTCCTCAGGTAGGCTTCAGAGTGTTCCTTCAGAGTTTCTGAAGTGTTTATGAAGTGTTTCTCAAGTGTTCAGGAAGTAGGGAGGCTTGACATGCTCAGACTGGAATGGCCTTTTTATGTTCTGCTTAAGTATGTCAATAAACATTAATAAGTATAATCAGCCACTGCTGATGTTGCAGCTATTTTTGTACCATTTCTACAACAAACATAGCACACACTTTCCTCACAATTTCTTATGAGATTTGTTTCCCATATGCAGTTTATGGTTCATATCATCCAGAAAAATCTCACCTTTCCTAAAAAATATTTGTATCAGGGCTTGACACAAATTGCAATTCAGCTACCTGCCACCAAAACAGAAAGTGAACTTGTCTGGCCAGAGAAGGGAGGTAATCATTTGTTCTCCTATGACTGAAAGCAAAATGGCCTAACAAACCAAAACAAAACACACCAGCCTCAGAAGCCTCTCCTTATCCCTCAAGTAATATGCCTTTGCCTGATCTTAGATCTTGGAACAACCCCATCATGAAAGGGTGTGTCTGAGGGACCGTACATGTCATTCTGTTGGATACATCCTCTAAGTTATATAGTTGTGGGTCCTGAAAAGGCTATTTGGAAACATGGAAAGTTTAAGTTTATATAAAATCCTGAAGGGCGTGGACAAAGTAAACAGGGACCTTTTGGTCACCAAGTCCCAGAATACTCGAACCTGGGGGCACCCACTGTAATTCGGAGAAGGAAGTTTAAAACTAACAAGGGAAAGTACTTTTTATGCATTGCATAGTTAACTTGTGGAATTCGTTGCCACTGGAGGTGGTAGTGGCAGACAGTATAGCCATATTCAAAAAGGGACTAGACAAATTCATGGATGGTAGATCTATTAATAGCTGTTGAACAAAATCATTGGAGATGTTTCCTCTGGTATCTCTAAACCAATAATGGTGGAAGTTAGGGAGAGTACTGAATAGGATATAGATAAGTCTAAATATACACAGTTCAGTGTTCTCTCTCTTATATATACATT